TTTTTTTTTTTTTTTCCAAAAACGATAGGATGCTCATATAACAAATAAAAATTATCCAGATACAAAGCTAATAAGATCAACGTCCCGATGATAATGAGAGACCCCTCACACGAGGTCTAAATCAAATAAAAACATAGGCAGCAGAGAGCTGAGATCCTATGCTAGTGAATAACAGAAAGAACCCCTCCGGCAAAGATAAAAAACTGTCAAAGACCTAGAATATCAATCCCGGAGCCACCCTGCTAGATAGAACAGAACTCGAGCCATTCCCTGAAAGCTTGTCTGACAAGACTGAGCTCAGGGAGCAGTTGCTTCTGAAAAACCCACAGATTACGGGATTTCCACAGCCACCATAATAAGTAGGTCGAAAGCTGAATCCGGCTGTCATCAATTGCCTTCACACCAACTGAACAGATAGATCCCCACCATTCCTTGAAAGAAGCAGCAGGCCAAGAGAAACAATCCCAGTTGACAGGAGCAGTGTGCCACACTTTTTGAGCCTTTGAACATTGCCACAGCACATGTTCGATTGTTTCCACAGCATCTCCACAAACTTGACAAATAGGATCAATATGCAGACCTCTCTTCAGTAATTTAGAATTAACTGGAAGAGAACCATTGATGCAGTTCCAAAGGAAATGCTTAATCTTTCCTTTGATTTTCAATTTCCAAGTTCTTTCTCTGATTTTCAAATCCTTGGCCTTAGAAAAACTGCCCTCAGGCTTATCCAAGCTGGCAATCTTATCATTAATGAGGTTAGAATAAGCAGAAGCCACAGAAAACAAACCTCTTCTAGCACCATGCCAGTTCCATCTATCAGCCAAATGAGGATGGAGTTCAATAAGCAAAATAGCTTCAGCCACTGGCCTTTCAAAGAGCTGGAAAATGAGAGCAGAGTTCCACCTTTGTCCATTGCTATGAAGCAGCTCATGAACCATAGTACAGTGAGTCTGGACTCCCATCTTAAATTTAATTCTCTGCAACCCCAAAGAAGGAATCCACGGGTAACCCAGAATGGTTGTGTCCCTGCCACTGAGGACTCTGGTTTGAACTAGATTATCAAATTTGACTTTCACCTCCATCCAGGAGTTCCACAGCCAAGAACCTCCAACTTTCCTCTTAGCATCACAAAAGCCTGTGTCAGGAAAATACCTTGATTTTAACAGCCTACTAACCAAAAGATCAGGCATAGTGAGAAGCCTCCACAGTTGCTTCATGATTAGGGCATCATTAAAGAGTCTGATGTCTTGGAAACCCAGCCCACCCTGAGTTTTGGGGAGAGTCACTGAATTCCAAGCCACCCAGTGCATACCCTGTGAGTGATCACCTTTCTTGCTCCACCAGAAATTGGCACATAACCTGGATACCTCTTTACAGATGGAAATGGGAAGTTTGAAGCATCCCATCACAAAGACAGGAAGAGCATTAAGGATGGATTTGATCAGCACTTCCTTGCCAGCTGGGGAGAGAAATCTATTCTTCCAGCTATTAATTCTGCCTCTCACAGCATCCAAGATAAAAGAAAAGGCCTGGATTTTGGAGCTGCCAATTCCCAAGGGCAAACCCAGGTACTTAGTGGAGCTCTGTTCAGAGATGTTGTTCAGAATAAGGCAAATTCTTCTTTTGAGTTGAACAGAGGAGTTCTTACTGAAAAAAATGGAGGACTTGCCCCAGTTAACTTGTTGCCCAGAAAAAGACTGATACTTTCTCAGAATGTCCATAAGCTGAAAAGCTTGGTTACTGTCAGCTCTACAGAAGACAAGGGTGTCATCAGCAAATAGAAGATGTGATAGTGTGGGTCCATTTCTTGAGATTCTGATCCCTTGGATACCTCCCAAACCTGCTTCCTTCATAATCAAGGAGGAAAAAACTTCAGCTACAAGGATGAAGAGGTAGGGGGACAGAGGGTCCCCCTGCCTAATACCTCTTTAAGCCTGCACAAAACCCCCAACCTGGCCATTTAGCTTAAAAGAGAAAGTAGTGGATGATACACCCCATAATCCAGTTCACAAATGAGAGGTGAAAACCCATTCTGATCAAAACCAGCTTAACACTGTTCCATTCAAGCCTATCAAAGGCTTTGAGAAGGTCAAGCTTAATGGCT